CCTTAAAACCCCCCCCCAAAACCCCCCAATACAAATAATTTTTCAGGGGGGGGCCCCCCCCCCCCCCCCAAAAAAAAAAATAATTAAAAATCATATTGTTTTATTTTGTTAACATACTCTCGACCTAAGGATTATTACATATCAGATTTGCCCCACTCACTAACGATCCCCCCCCCCCCTAACTATCCTGTGCTTTCATATCAACATCGTGTTCACAACAAGACAACGACCATTTATATCTTTGGTACGGCAATTCTGTCCGACCATTTAAATTAACACTTTGCAGTCACAAAATGCCCCATCTGGTCACCTAGCCATGAGCATAACTGCAACAGACTTCTCGGGCCTGGTACAGAACTGCTCCAGGTGACGGAAAGGATAATTTTCACTGTCGCATTATTGCGCGAAGTGATCACAAAGTGTTAACTGACCCAAACATAATTTCATTCACGATTCGATTACCCTACAAGAAGTAATTTTGTAGAACCCCCATTCTCTCTCTCTCTCTCTCTCTCTCTCTCTCTCTCTCTCTCTCTCTCTCTCTCCCATATGCACTATTTAGATAATTTATGGAGGCATGCTTCGACCCTGCCCGTCTGCGCCAACCCGAGCTGAGAGGGATACATTATCCCAACAAAAAGTCCGAGACACCAGATAGTAAATTCTCTCCCCACTCGGGAATCGTACTCGGGTCTCTTGCGTTTTACTGCGAAGCACCTAACCACTACACCACAGAGGCCGACCACGAAGTGAACAATTTTACTAGTGTGGACGGTTGATACGCAAGAATAAATGCATTTCATTGGATCATCTCTGGAAAAAAATGTGTTTCTTCAGATCACATTGGAAATAAATGTGTTTTTTAACAAATTTGAAATGCTAATTTATTCAAAAACTAGTCACAGTGAGGCTTTCATATTGATATCTCAAGATGGTTTTCGACAGGTAAAATTCATTAGTGGAATAAACAATTTCCCCTCCAAAATGAACAAAAAATGCGTTTCATCAGATCATGGCTGTCCTGTAGAAAAGTCTTTCCACAAGCTTGAGTGTTACCTGCTTCTGTCATAGCCAAACATTCTCTGGATCTCCTTGGAAACATTCACATCGTTTCCCTCTTCATTGTCATCGATAAAATCGTCCATACCAGAATCTTCCTCCTCGTCAAAATCATTGTCTAGTCTCATCTTCTTCTTAAGAGTTGGGCCTGTGTAGAGAAAAACGGTAATTCAGATGTGTTAAATTAAGAAAACATTGATTCACAAGTTTCAAAATAATAATCATTCAAATAAGTTTTAAAAAACCCAACAACAACAAACAAATAAAAAAGGAAAAAAACAACAACAACAACAAACCAACAACAAACCAACAACAAACAAATTGAAAATAAGAAACAAACAATAACTCGAATGTCTCAAGAAAACAACAATTCAAATGAATAACGATTAGGAGAACAGTGCACTTTGCTCAAGAAGTTATCAAGGAGATAGAGATATATATTTATCAACAACCGCATTCTAACAACCTCTCCAATCTCCCCAATGTCCTATCATCATCATCATCATCATCATCATCATCATCATCATCATCATCATCATCATCATCATCATCATCATCATCATCATCATCATCATCATCATCATCCACTTATTTAGAAGTTCAGGAGAAAGAACAAAGAGTTCTCCGTCACTCTCTACTTCACAGGTCGGGAATCAATGGCCACTGCAGCGTCACATAAGGGAAGGTCTGAGAGAGAGAGAGAGAGAGAGAGAGAGAGAGAGAGAGAGAGAGAGAGAGAGAGAGAGAGAGAGAGAGAGAGAGAGAGAGAGAGAGAGAGGAGAGAGAGAGAGAGAGAGAGAGAGAGAGAGAGAGAGGGGGGGCAAGAGGGAGGGAGACGGGGGGGGGGAGGGGGGAAAAGAAGAAGAAAAACAAAAAAGGGGGGTGGGTTTTTGTGCGTTTGTGTTAATTAGGGGGGAGAAAGTGGTAGAGGGAGAGAGAGAGAGAGAGAGAGAGAGAGAGAGAGAGAGAGAGAGAGAGAGAGAGAGAGAGAGAGAGAGAGAGTGCACGTAACGAGAGAAATTGTTGACATGGCTACAAGTACAAGGATAATAATTATATTACAGTGGAAGTTACAGTTTGGGACTATGAGTTTCTTAGACATTGAGAACGCTGCTTATTATAATTTGTTGAATTACCGTACAAGATTTATCTTTCCGTGTCTTTGTTTGTCCTGTCGGTTGATGTGAGAATCTTTTCTAAGGGCAAATAATATCATGATGTTAACATAACGAGACAAAACAAAACTCACCCGACTGTGTGCGTGGGTGTGACCTCTTGTGTTTGTGCACCTGACTAACGATCCTGTCGAAAGGATTGTTAAAACTGTGTAGAGCTGATGGTTCTTCCTCCTCGCTGTCACTGCCCGGCCCACACACAAGGAGGGTCTCGTTCATGTGAGGGACGCTGCTGGCTTTTCCTCTGTTGGTCACGTGGTTGTTGCTGGGTGGTCGCTGGGGCTCTCCTCTGTGCTGCTTGCTCAGTGACGATTTAGCGCTCATAGAGGACGTGGATTTGCTCAGTGACGGTTTAGAGGACGTAGAAGATGTAGACTTTTTCAATGACGTGTCAGAACTCACACATGAGGACGTGGGGGATTTCAATGACGCTTTAGCGGTCGTAAAAGACGTGGGCTTGTTCAAGGACGGTTTAGCATTCACAGAAGACGTGTGGTTGTTCAGTGACATTTTAACACCCATGCAAGGCGTAGGCTTGCTGACTGGTGTTGGCTTAAACTTGTCTCGTGAAGAACTGGACGAAGGCGGAGCTCGTGTTTGGGACGAAGACGGAGGAGAAGCTTCGTCAACGGAAATTTTTTTCTGACATGGGGCTTTCCCACCATTTTTCAACCACTCCTGATACTTCTTGGACTTAAGTCTTTCCTTCCTCTCCTTCTCTTTCTGGGTCATTGGCCTTTTCTCCTCCTTTTTGTTATTCTTATTTGAGATAGATGGGGTCGGTTTTGTTGGTTCTTTCTGATTTTGTTCAGCCATTGCAAGAAGCGCCTGAAAGCCCATGGGCGGAGGAGCAGCACTTGTGCAGTGTTTGACGATAAGTTTCTTTGCCTTACTTGGCACGAGGTTCGTTTCCATGTCGGATAAGGGTGACGGACGGCGTTCTTTTTTCTTCTCCTGGTTCCCAGACGTCTGACTGGGAGAAAGCTTGAAATGCTTACTGCTACTGCCACTGTCGGTTTTGTGAACCGACTTCCTTTTCCGACTGTTTTTGTTTTCCGTTTTCGAGTAATCTTTCTTCTGAGCCCTTTCCCAGGCTTGCTTTGCCAACCGGGCAATCTTCTCCTTCTCTAGTTTAGCTTCTCTCTCAGACAGCATGATGTCCAAGGCAGACGGCACGTTATTGTCCACAGATTCGTCTTCATCAGAGGAAATGACGTCACGCACAATTTCAGCAGACTTTACGACTTTCTCATCCTGTTTGCCGGAGCCATCTCTGGGAGACATTTGCTCCTTTTTACCTCGATTACCTCTCGGAACGTTCTCTTTTTGGATGGCAGCCAGAGTCCGCTCTTTAATGGCCTGCAGACGGGCGAGGACCTTCTCTCTCTCCGATATCTGCGACGGAGCGGTTTGGGCGGTCTGTCTCTCCACCAGAGGTTTAAAGTAATGTTTGGAAAGCTCCACAGCTCCCTCGCGGGATGGATTTCTTTTCTGAGATTTCTCCGGGGATATTTTGTCCTGGCTGTTGATTTCAGCTGTTGTCTGTTTCGACGAAGAAGTCACAGGTTTTGATGACAGTTTGTCCTGATCGTTGATTCCGACTGTTTTTAGTTTCGACGAAGATGTCACAGATTCTGATGATGGTACTTTGTCACGAACGTCGATTTCAACAGTTCCCGATTTCGACGAAGATGTCTGAGGTTTTGGTGACGAGGAAGAGGAGTGAGGTCTGGAAGAGAGGGATCGTGAACGTGGTTGAGGTTTTTTCGTCTCAGAACAGTCGCTGTTGGATTTGCTGGAGCTAGAACTGCTCGGAGTCTCCGACACTCTGTCTTTGTCTACAGAGGAATGTTGTAGTTTGCGGTGTCCAGTAGACGATGAGCGAATGTGACCTGATTTGTTGTCGCCATGTTTTTTCTGACAGTCGTCAGATTTGCTGCTCATGGATTTCTTGTCTTTGAGATAGCTGGACGCGTGAGGCTCACTAGTTTGACCGTTTTTTGTAGACGTTTCCGGAGTGAGCGTTTTATTTTTCTCGCTGTCTTCATCAGGCTCGCTGTCATCCTCAAACAGAGAGTGGAACAGTTTCTTCAGGTCTATCTTCTTTAAGCTCGTCTCCGCTGGGGGAAAAACCACGATAAAAAGTAGGTCAGGCAACATGAAGAAGGGAAGAACTTTGTTTTTTTAAAAACCAAATGAAAAATGTTCAGTAAATGTCATATGCATCAGATTCAAAATATTGTATCCATTCGATTGAAATGCCCCAACTTAAAAAACTACAAGTGTCTAATTTGTTTACTCCAGTTGGACAATCTCCGAATTACTGAGATAGAATCATTGAGGGCATAAATTTAGCCTTATAGAAAACAACGATTTTGATAGACCTCATTGACGCATTACTCGGAATCTAAATATCGAATCTCTCTAATTTTTTTGCACGCGTCTCTGAATTCTAAAAGACCTAAAATATCTCGATTTTCGTGCATATGCAACAAATACAAAGAGGTGCTGTCCTTATAACCATTAGTAATTGTGAGGCAGTGTGGTTGAAGCAGGCTCTCGTCGATTTTGGGGCATGCAGAGTTATTGGTATTATCTTAAAGCTTGTTAAAAAAATGTCCATTTATCTTGAATACAAGTCGTGATATTTGCAAAAGAAGGAGGTGGGGGTCACCTGTTTTCAGAGGTTAAATTTGTAAGAAAATAGCCGCCAAAGATTAGTTATTTCCTCAGCTTAAGAGTCCATGGTAACTGAAAATTTACATTTTTTTGTACCTTTAGTCAACGTTTTTCAGAAAAATCTACACAGAAATGAATTCTTTAAGGGGCACGAAAGGTGTTTGGCCAAAAATCATATATTTGACAAAAATTCACAAACCTGCGGAAAAATGCAAGTTTCTTCACTTTGATTATTTTGACGAGAGCCTGATTCCACCACGCTGCCCCACAATTATTAAACTCAACTCCGCGCACTTTTTAAAATTGCAATTTCGGTACCATGCTAAAACCATATTAAAAACAGAGAGTTGTTGCAGGGGCCTTAGCCAGAAGTTTTAAGGGGGCAGGGGGGGGGGTGTTGGGGGGAGGAGGGGGGAGGAGGGGGGAGGAGGGGGGAGGAGGGGGGAGGAGGGGGGATACAACTGGGTCAAACCCAACACCGGGAGTCAACAGAGTGTTAAATTTGAAGCGCCTACAAACATGTCACTGGGCACCCCCCCCCCCCCACCCTGCAGGTTCATAGGCAGAGCCACTCCCTCCCTAAACATACACGTGTGGTCCTTTTTCGGGATTTGTTATCGAATAAAAGGGATGGCCTCGATCAGCTTTTTTAAAGAAATAGTTCAGAAGTTTTAAGCGACGTTTTGTTTGGGTTCGTAAATTAAGTTATCTAATCATTGTGATTTATGAAAAAGCGAGAGCAAATTGAAACGCATTTGATCTAAAAAAAACCTGTGAAGATATGACATAAATTTTACTCATTAAACCCACAGTCACCAACAAGCCTAACCGCTGGACTGAAAACAATTCCGTTTTGCGGCACATGCAGTCAGTTCAAAAAAAAAAGAAAAGAAAATAGATTTAAACAAAAGAAAAAAACAAAACAAAGAAACTAACACTCAACTACCGTTCTTGTTCCGATAAAAAAAATCCCTGCGCTGACTGTAATTAAATACTACTGATTATATAGACAACACCTTTTTATATTTGTAGTATATACACAGAAATCGAGAATGTTTAGGTTTTTTTTAAATATTCAGAGGCACATGCAAAAAATCAGGACAATTAGCCTCTTAGTTCCTGTGTAATGAGGTCGACAAGTTGTCCATTTGGTGTTGTCCAGACTATACCATGGCACTTGGTCTTTATCGTCTTGCTTACATAATATTTCGTTTATTATACCCTTGCACAAAGTCAGCAACAAAAAGAAAGATAACCAAAAAACAAGCGAACAAAACAACAAGACAAAAACCCTTCTTACACCACCCGCCCCACCCCCTTTTTTAAAAAAAAAAGCAAAAACCATTTTGAATTAACCTTACGACAGTCTAAAGTCTGAAACCAGCCCTGGTTTGGACCTTAGAAGAGAATGATTTGTTTTCTCCATTTTGATGAGCCCTGCCAAAGACAGCCACCAGCGGTATACGGCCACTTTTCTCCTTGACAATGGGTAGCCGTTTCACAAAGGTTTGACTGTGTATATATAAATACACACACACACACACACATACACGCACACACACACGCACACATACACACGCACACACACACACACACACACACACACACACACACACACACACACACACACCCTCATGATTCCAAAAGTACTTATCAATTACTCTAACTCTAAGCCGTTTTACTTACCTTTCTTCTGTTTCTCCACATCTTTTTCTTTCACGGGCTTCTGAACGATTCTAGGTTTGTTTTTCGCCTTCTGTTCCCCGGTCGCCTGATCCGGGACTTTCCTGGTGGTGAGCGACACAGGCAGTCCCGAGGACGTATTCTGCTCACGGGACTTTCTAGTGGACAGTTTGTTCTGAGCTTCCAACGAATCTGCCCTCTTTCCCGCTGAAATTGTCTCAGACTTTGATGAAGAGGGTGAGGGATGGGGCTTGGAAGAACTCGAGGATGAACTCTGCTGGAGTTTTTCTTGCAGCGAGGAGTCACTGTTTGATTTTTTCTCGTTGGAATCACGATGAAGAACCTCTTGGGAACAGGTTTTGTCTAATGACGTCACAGACATGTTTGGTCTATGGCTACTTGAACTTTGTGACCTACGATGCTCACGTGACTTTCTCGAGGACAGTTTGTCTTGACCATCCAATAAATCAGACTTCTTTCCCGCTGACATTTTCGCGGACTTGGACGAAGAGGATGAGGGGCGGGGCTTGGAAGAGCCCGGGGTTGAGGGGGCACAACTCGTGGATGAGGGGGCAGAACTCGAGGATGAGGTGGCAGAACTCGAGGATGAGGGAGGAGAACTCGAGGATGAGGGGGCAGAACTCGAGGACGAGGGAGGAGAACTCGAGGATGATGGGGCAGAACTCGAGGACGAGGGAGTAGAACTCGAGGATGAGGTGCGTGGCTTAGAAGAACTTGAGGATGAGCTCCGTTGGTGTCGCAGGGAGGAGTCACTGTTTGATTTGTTCTCTTTGAAATCACGATGATGAACATCCGGGGAACAGGTTTTGTCTGATGACGTCACCGGCATGTTTGGTCTATGGCTACTTGAACTTTGTGACCTACGATGCTCACGGGACTTGCTCGTGGACAGTGTGTTCTGACCTTCTAATGAATCTGTCCTCTTTCCCGTTGACATTGTCTCTGAC